TGTAAAGGATTTCCTTTTTTATACTGTACTTCTAAGTATCATTTTTTCCGATTTATTATGTGAAAAATGCTGTATACCAGTAAGCTATAGTTGAACTGCATTCCAACCCTTTTGTAACTGTTCTTTTTGGGGCAGAGATGGGGGGCAAGAGGAGAAGAGAGGGGAATCTGTTCACCCGTAAGTTCAGAATGGTGCTGATTTGAGAACAAAAGATGTATGTGGTTTTGTAAGTTACTTTGCCAATTTGAGCAGGATAATTTTATTGGTACTTGCAACTTAAAATAGTTCAGATATGTCTTAGAGGTGAGCATACCAGTGAAATGTCAATTGACTGGATATGAATTGGCTTTTTAATTAATAAAGAATCTTTTCATTTCAGTATAATTTTATTTCCTTATTTTAAATGTTATATAAAATCCCCTTTCCCGCCTGCAAAGAAATTCCAACATTTATGTATGTTTTTTTTAATTTTAGAATGGTTGTCCTCTGTTTACAAACAGCAGTGGTTTGCCATGCTCAGAGCAGAACAAGACAATGATATTGGGTAGGTATATTACAGGTTTTCTTTCTTTTGTTATTTTAAGTAGAATCTTTCTCTGGAATAGACTCAGATATGCATAAATGTTAGTGTTTGCATCAAAATGAGAAAATTTGGCTGAATCGCTTATTTTCAACTTCACACCCAAATTCTTTGTGGAGTAATCCATCTCATTCATTTTCATCTGGTCAGTTTCCAGTTATCTGCAAAATAGACTTTGAGCATTTGCTTTCTACGATATAACTTATAGTTGGACATTATTTTCTGGGTTTTTTCCTCCTGCTTAGTATTTGTCGCCATTAGCATTGCATTGTCATGTGTATTGAGGATGAGAAATAGTGACTTAGTAATCAATTTTGAAGAAAATTTTAAAAAGATGAAAAATATGCAGAAACTAACTTTAACCTTCCTAGTTTTTCCGTCCCCGTTTTATGTGCCTGAATGGACAAGGAAAGTGTATAGGATAAATAAGATGATTTTTAATTAGGTAAATATTGGAGGGATAGCTCTCAACCTTCAAATGTGTATAACGAGAAGCATTTTTTCCTCTCAACTGTTGTGACTTTCTTTGTATTCAGTTTTTCTTATTTTCAAGAATAAGTCTTCAGTTTCTTATTTAGAAAATAATGTGTTGCTTCCATGTAAATCACTAGCTGTTTTAGTTGGAAATCTTGAAGAGCTTGCAAAGCATAAAGTCTGATATAACTTTTTTTTTCTGATTTGGCTCCTAAATTGTTTGTTGTATGATGGCTGCCACTCAAATATGTGGCGGCACTCTGTTCCCAATATTTTCCTGTGCAGTCTGTTTCCTAGACGTTTTATAATGTTATTTGCAATGCTCCAGTTCATTTACCTGTCCCTATTTGCATTGCAGACCCAATTTTATGTTGGCTCTTCAGGGATTATTTTATTCTGTTTTATTCAAATGCTTTCACTTACATGGAGTTGATGGCCTTTCCACCTCAAAAATCAATTGTTTAACCCAGGATTTAGTCTGAGTCATCAAAGTGTTCTTGTTCTGGTTAACCATCTAACAGAATGGTAATTACTTTACTTTTCCCTGTTGTTCAGAGTGGAAGAGTTCTTTGATATGGAATACACTTACCAGAATAACAGATACAAAATTGTTGAGCATAACCCATATCAGTAGAAAATAAGAAGTGTTAATATGCTATCCCTTCTCCAACTACCATTCGAACAATCATTTCAGTATCTGGAGGCCAGGAGAAGTGTATTTTATTCTTTTGTTCACTGACTTGCTATCTGAGCTTGAATAGGTCACTTCATTTCTGTATAGATATGGAAACTGAGGCAATATGGGGGAGAAGAGAGAGAATAATGAAGCTTTGTACCCTGTTCAGTATTAGAGGGCTTTGCAAAACTGTTGATAATTATAGAGATAACTAACACTATTTCAGCTTTGTGGGCTGTCTTTTGACTCTCTTTTTACTTCGGTTTTCTTGCATCAGTTTTGTCACACCAGCATGATTTTAGAAAATACACAAATGTATGAGATAGGCCTAGGGTAAGCTTGATTTTTTTTTTAACTTGCTTGTCAGATGCCTCTTCTTGGCAACAGCATTATCTCAGAAAGGCAAATAAGTATGCAGTTATAAGTTTCTATGCTTTAATCATTACATCAAATGTATTACAAGAACTGAACATTTTGAAAATGCGAGAGCTGTTATGCATCTAGCATTTAGTAAAACATTGCACAGTGAGTATTACAGCTGTTTTATTAAGCTTGAGACTTATTAAACTCTGGCTCTGCTCCTCTTGAAGTCAAATATTAGCATAAACAAGGAAGATAAAGCGAATTGCATTTAGGAGTATTTTAATGCTGCTGTTACTCTTGAAAACATTTACTTTATTAATAGTAATACCTGCTATCTGATAGGGATGTCTATGTGTAGTCAAGTGATAGAAATGTAGCTGTGTTAGTCTGGTGCAGCTGAAACAAAACACAGGACTATGTAGCACTTTAAAGACTAACAAGATGGTTTATTAGATGATGAGCTTTCGTGGGCCAGACCCACTTCCTCAGATCAAATAGTGGAAGAAAATAGTCACAACCATATATACCAAAGGATATGTGTTCTTTTTTTTAATTGTATCCTTTGGTATATATGGTTGTGACTATTTTCTTCCACTATTTGATCTGAGGAAGTGGGTCTGGCCCACGAAAGCTCATCATCGAATAAACCATCTTGTTAGTCTTTAAAGTGCTACATAGTTGACTACACATAATACAGGACTAACTGATAAGCCTCTGATACAGAGGAAGCAAGGTCCGGGGCGGCGGGAGTCAGTGCCTGTGGGAAACTGGTTTTGAAGCTGGTTTCTCCACAAGCACCAGATCCCACAGAGCTGCCCTCCCCGCCTCCTGTGCCACTGCCTCTGATAGAGAGGCAGTAGTTCAGAAAGCGAGGGGGACAGGTTGAGCTGATACACATGGGAGCCAGCTTTTAAGCCAGCTCTCAGAGCATGCCAGCTCCATGGAGCCTCCTGACCCCCTGCTTGCTGCCTCTCTCAGAGGTGGGGTGGGGGCAAGAGCCAGTGCTCGGGGGAGCCAGCTCCCCACATTCACTGGCTTCGCGGAGCTGCCTGCTCCCCCTCCCACCACACTGCTGCCTCTGTCACAGGCAGCAGGGTGGAGATGGGGCAGGGGAAGCTGCTGCGGAGCAGCCTCTGTCCATGCGGGCCCTGGCTCGCTGTGGACAGAGGCTGCACCATAGGGTACTGCCGCTCCACGCTGATGCCTCTGATAGAGACAGCAGCACAAGGTGGGGATAAGAGCGCACCGGCTGCTGGCCGCGCCCCTGGGAACTTTCAAATAGTCAGGTAATGGCTAAAATTTGAATCAGTCACATGAGTATTCAATCAATCGACATCTAACATCCCTACTATCTGATATATACTGCTAAACAAAAGACTTTTTGATAACTTTCTGGATCACATCCCAAACAAATTGAAAAGAGAAGCTGTTTGCTTAATTGTTTCAAAATGTTAAGCTGAATTAAGCAAGTTTCATTTAATAGAAAAAATAGCGTTTAACAAGTCTTTAGTACTATTGTCTATGAATTCCGGCATATCATGACAATTGTAGATTTTAGGGCTATCAAGCAATTACAAATTAATTGCAATTTATTATGTGATTAAACAATAATAGAATACCAATTATTTAAATATTTTTGGATGTTTCTGTGATGGGACACGATCGCAGAAAACCTCTTGGGGCTACTTCCTAATGTGCTGATAAAGCCACTGACACTCGCCACCGTACTCTCTGGTGCTTCTCACCATCCTGTGCTGCTGGGCCAGATCTTCTGGTCTCCCCCAGACAAAAGACAGAGCTGAGAATACTGCCTCTCACTCACCTCCTCCTCACTTCAGCTCTGAGGAGAATGCAGTTTAAAGGCACAGCATTAAGGAAACCAACCCCCAAATGGGACTAAATATAATCCAAATCCATTTTTCACTGTGTGAGAGTGTCACACATTGAAAGCCCATTCAGGCCTCTTTAATAATGAAAGGAAGATGTATACACTGTTCTCCCAGGTAACAATTATTTATACTGGGCTTGATAGTAAATAAAAGTAAATTTATTAAGTACGAACAGTAGGATTTCAGTGGTTACAAGTGAAAACAGAGTAAATTACGAATTTAAAATAAAAGAAAATGAACATATCATTCTAACACACTAAAACTCATTGCAAACTTACCCTAAAACTACACTAATTTCAGGCATTGACCTTCAAGCCTGGGGAAATTTTTTTATTCTCCGTGGTGTCACCAGTTATCCTTTTGAGTGTGTCATGGAAGCCAAAGACAGAGAGATAGATAGCTTCCCATTGTTTTTATAGATTCTCTTTGGGTGGGAACCTGTTGTTCTCTCTCCCACCTTCCATGGAAAATTACTTGGCCAAACTGGTATCCTCCTACTTGCTGGTGTGGTCAAATGTCTTCCTAAGACCAGCCACTACTTAGACTTAATGATTTGAGAACAGCCTTGTTTGTCCTTTAAATTGATCACCCAGCAGTTAAGGCAGGGGTGGGCAATAATTTTTGGCTGGAAGGGCGGAGCCTGGATGCTTCCCCAGCCACAGACTATGATTGGTCTGAGGGTGGGGGAAGCCCCTTTGCTCCCCCTCCCCTTTCCCACTAAGTACCCATGCTCCTAGCAGGGTGGGAAGAGGCTTTGTACACTCCCCCACCCCCAGGCCAATTAGGGCCTGGGGACGGGGGAAGTGCACGAAGTTTCCTCCACCCAGCCAGGAACACATAGCACTTCGAAGTGCTACATACTCCTAGTAGGGCAAAGGAAACTTTGCCATCCCCAAGCTCTGATTGGCCTGAGGGGGGGACACAGCAGGGCCTCTGCGGGCCGGATCAATCTGCTTGGCAGGCCGGATCTGGCCTGCGGAGGCCCTTTTGCCCACCACTGAATTAAGGTGTCTGAGCATTGGAAACACTTTTGATGTTTTAAATGTGCAAATAAAAGCCAATAAACCATTCCATACCCCATATTTCTATCTTTACATAGAAGAGTGATACATACACCAAAATCAGATGCACAGATCCAGCAGATTGTGACATTAAAACTGGTAGGTTACATGAGGCATTTTGTCCAAAGCATCTTTGAGTTATGCGTGTTTGTATACATAAGACAATTTCATGCAGCATCGGAGCAGGGGGACGGGGGGACCGGGGACCATCACAGTTTCTACATTTTCAGATCTATTGATTTCAGTAAGCCTCACTCATATGGTCTAGAGTAGCCCCAATCTGTGGTGGGCCCAGTCCACGTGTGCCGCTGGCAGGGGTGCTCCAGCCAGCCGGCCACTATGGAAGGTAGATTTTCTGTTTTTGGTGTTTCAGTTCTGTAGTTTACCGTGCAAATATATATATATTTTTAAGTTAAGCAAGCACTGTATACATTGTCTTTTGTTGTAAAAGAAATCACTAAATTTTGAAAATGTAGAAAAACATCCAAAATATTTAATACA